AAGCAAGTATTGGCTTTATTTTTTAGGGCAGTTAAGACAAAATGATTGCTTTTTTAGTAAGTTTACTTCATTTTCCCATTCATAGGCTAAAACTTTTTTATATAGAAAGAATAATAGGAATAAAATTTTATTTATGTATTTAATATGAAAATTTAAATAAAATAAGACTGTTATTTGTGGTCATGTAAGTTTATATACATAAGTTTGCGTTTATTTCAGTCTATTTTATATTTCTCTATATCTATATGTACATTTTCTCTAAGGAAAAATAATAAGGAATAGAAAAATAAGGAAAATTTGCTTTGGAATTTGTCAAAAGAGTGTTGTGTTATGCTTCATTTTAAGGTATCTAAATATATATTCATTAGAAATTTTTAATTTTGTTTTTAAATGGTTTATTCTTTTTCACTACTTTAGATAAACATATACTAACTGACATAACTTCATTTTTATTAACAATGTCGTGCATTGTAGTCTGCATTCTTTGCAGACTACAATGCACATCATATGTGAATTGAAAATCAATGTACCTATCAGGTACATTGATTTTCAATTCACATATGATGTTTTTCTTTGTATTTATTCGATACATTTTTAACTTCAGATTTATGGTGTATTCATTTGCTATAAAAGAACAAATCATTTTGAATTTTTTAAAAATATCTACACCAATCAACATTTAAAGTTCAATGTTGCATATACCATTTTTAAGTAGCTTCTAGGCTTTTTTGATGCTTTTCTTATTCAAGTGGTTTCATAAGCAAACTCTACAAGCAAGTTTAAGATAAAAAATTTTCAGCTTTCAAGGAGTATCAATGTTGTTCTCTGTTTAATTTAATTTGTTTAAATAGAGTAGTTAAAGTAAATAAATGTTTGTTTGTTCTTGGTTTTTTACTCATTTGTTTTCAGATTCTTAAGAACTAGGCAACATAGCGAAACAAAATTTATTAAATTTTTTAGTGCAATTGGAAAGAGCTAAAGTGCTTTTTAGTCACTTCAAATCATTTGTTTCTTTTTTTAATAGAAGGGTTAATAATAAAAACATTTAGACAGTCGAACTGTTACTGATTTGAGTAAGTTTAATGTTTTGTTTAATTTTATATTAGATAAATAAATACATAAAGTATTTAACATGAAAAACTGACTGTAATTTTTGACAGGTAAGTTTATATACATAAATGTGCCTATATATCAGAAAATTTTATATTCCTCTAAATCTATATAAATATAATCTCAAAGAAAAAATTAAGAATAGAAAAAGTTTGAATATATATACATACATATATACTACTTTAGACTGACATTGCTTCATTTTTTATATAAGATTCTGCATTTATTATTTTTGTGCATTAAGATTGTGCATTAAGGCTTTCTTAATTTAGCAAAGAATTTAGAACACAATGCAAATAACTTTGCACTGTGTTCTAAATTCTATGCTAAATTAAAATAATGTCAATAAGTTTTGTTTTACATTTTTCAGTTGTAAAAATATAAAACGTTCATTTATTCAGTTGTAACAGTAGTATAATCACTGGTAATATATATTTAATAATAACAGATGTATAATATTAGGCTCAAAAAAGTTATTAGTGTAAATGGTTATAGGTGACTTGAAATTGTTGTCATATGAAAGAAATAAATCTAGGCGTGATAAAATTAATTGTTGCTGAAATATAAGAAATTTTGCTTGATGAACCAAAAACTTATCTGGCAGAATTCAGTGTCAAGCGGTGTTAATGTCTATTATTTGACTTTACATTAGACACTTTAAAATGAAGCAAAGTATGAATTTTACTATTTATAGTAACAAATAATAACAGTTTCAATTTTGAATAATTTTTTTTTTTTTTTTGCAATCTTAAACATAATTGTGTTCATTTTTTTTTAGTTGTCTTTGTCATCACTTGATTATTTTGCTTACTGTTGAAACATGGTTTTAATTTTGTAAATTTAATATGATGTGAAATTTACAATATTAATCATTTGTCATCAGTTAGAGAGAAGCTTGAAATTAATTAAGAAATGCTGGAAATTAACTTTTAGTTAAGGTAAAGATAATTTTGTTTATTGGTTGCATTAAAAAATTAGTTACTGTTATTTATTGTATGACTTTTTTACTTTTTCTAACATGGTGTTTTTAAAACACTTCCTCTCTCTCTTAGATGAGACTTAAATAAGAATTAGTATTGAGAATTGTAGAGAGAGAATTGATTAAACTCTGTATTTACTGAGCTCTGATTAAACTCTGTAATTACTAAGCTCTTGCGAATTTTTTAATACTGCAATTGATAATTTGCTATTTAAAGATATAATTCTTTAAATTGTCCCTTGGTTGTTCAAATGTTGTAATAAATAAAATCTTTTTAGTTTCAAGTATTTTCTCTTAGGGATCGTCTATATATTACGTAACGCGAAATTAAACATAGACAAAAGAAATATCTCAAAGTGTGTTTCTCTCATGGACAACTATATGCTGCATTTTCAAGAACTATAGCATTTAATAGTTTGTTTTTCAAAATTGATAAACATCTTATTCAAGGTATAGTAGGTAAAAAAATGTATCATAAATATTGTTATGTTTTTTAAAGTTCTTAATTTATAGTCTTTAGATTTTCATTTCTAAAATAAACTGTTAAAGGTTGTGAGCACATTTTGTATGTATAACTTTATTTATCATTATCTATTTTTTTTTCATAGTTTTTGGTAAATATATCTATCATTCGATAGTTGTAAAATGTGTTTACCCAGCAAGGACAAGACGTATTCAATACGTATTATTTTAATATTATTCACATCTTTTCTAGAGTAGACGATAAAAATACGCATAAAAAACGAATTTTCAAGATGAGTTTTAGCTGAATATAAAACTTATCTTTAAGAGACGTATTAAATACGTATTATTTCTATATATGAAAGATATCTTTCGCAAACAAATATAATACGTGTTCAAAACGTCTTTAAAAGACTAAAGTCATCATTAAAAAATGTTTTAAATACTTTTTTTTGAAGTTTTTATTTGAGACCACAAAGGCATGCGAAAAAAATGTGTATTCTGAACGTCTTTTGAAGACGACCTTTAGTCGAATATATTTGAATAAAGATAAATACTAATTGTAAAAAATAAATGTTGTTATTCAGCTATTGCTTCTTATTTATTGACTCGATTTATAGACAGCTTTTTGTACATCTTTACGTTCTTGGTTGTTACTCTATTCTCCAGTTAACTTTTTTAATATCATTTTAAAATAAAATTACTATTGTAATTTTGATTTAGTTAACCATATTATGGTCCATAATTATGGACCATAATATGGTTAACTAAATCACTCAAGTGATTTAGTTAATCATATTATGGTCCATAATTATAATCAATAACCTTGCGTCATAACCTTGCGATTTTCATATAGAATAAAGTAGTAGTATTTTAAAGTATAATTTGTGACGCAGCAAGATAATGAATGACCTATATGATAACCGCATCTATTTTTTATTTAAAATATACTCTTTCAACATATATGCATAATGCGGTATACATAATATAATCAAATTTGAAATAAAATAATATACTCAAATTTGAGTAGTTGATACGGTATCAACAACTAAAATAATTTTTTTTTTAATTATGTTCAGGTGGTTTAATTATGTTCAGATGGTAATACAAATTTGATTTGTTTATACGATATAAACAACTCAAATTTGCATTACAAAACCGTTAAAATTTATATTGGCCAATATAAATTTTAGCGGTATTTTAATGACAATTTTTGAGGCTTGTTATCCAATATAAATTTTACAATATACTTTAGTTTTATTTCAAGAAGAAAAAAAGGCTAAACACATTGCATAAAACAAGTGGGAAAAATATTACTAAATAAAATAATTTTTCCAAATATCCCAGTGACTTGAAAAAGAAATCATCTTACGCAATTGCATTAAAGAAGCGGGAAAAAGTATTCCAGAATAAAATAAAATGGCAAACAGTGTGAGCAAACGTTGTATCTTATTGATGATTTTTATACATATATATTATATACAGTGACGGATCGAAGATTTTTTGGTGGGGGGGGGGATGTGGATACCAAAAGTGGTTAGAATTTAAGATCAAGAGCGCAGATTATTTCAATAGTTTCAATATTTCGATTATTTCAGGGTATTTATGTTCTGGTGGGGGGGGGGGGGATGCATACCCCCATCCCCTCCCCTGGATCCGTCACTGATTATATATATGTTTAATATACATATAATATAACATACTTATATAACATACATATATAAAATATATACATATGTATACATGCATACATACATATATATAATATATGTACATATATTATATATATATATATATTATATATATATAATGTATATATATATGTATATATATATTATATATATATATATATGTATGTATGTATGTATATATATGTATATATTTTATGTATGTATGTATATATATATAATATATATATATATATATATATATATATATATATATATATATATATATATACTATGTATATATATATATATATATATACTATGTATATATATATATATATTATAGTATATATTAATAATATATACTATACTATATATATATATATGTATATATATATAAACATATATAAAATATATAAACTATATATACTTATAGTATATATTTATAAATATATATATATATATATATAAGTATATATAGGCATATATATCAGTATATGTATATAAAAGTATATATACATATATATATATATATATATATATATATATATATATATATATATATATATATATATATATATGTATATATAAGTATATATAGGCATATATATATAACATATAAATATATATATATATATATATATATATATATATATATTATATATATAATTTAATATATATTATTTTTATTACTTAAATCAAACATGATTTGGTTTTATGATTGCAGTTTACTTTATTTTAAACTTTGTTTTTTGCACTATATTGTTTGAGTGCATTTAATATATTTGTTTGCTTTTAGTATTTGATTTTTTTTTTTTAATATTGTTGATAACTATGTTATTATTTGTCATTATGTTGTTGCTAACTCATGTTATAAGTTAATAGAAACGTTTATATTTGCAAAAGTTTTATTTAGCTTTTTTCAATATTATAAAATATGGCATACTTCAAAAAGTACCGTAGATTAAATGCAATTTTAGATAATATTGTTGATTCAACCAGCAATGACAGTGACACTAATGATATACCAACAACACAGCCTTTGAAAGACATCGTCGAAAAGCAAGTTAATTATTTGTCTGATCATAATAGTAGTTCTGATTTTGGATATTATGATAATTATATATCTTCGGCTGAATCAATTGGTAATCCAGATATATTCCCTATAAAAGATGCTTTAACATTCAATCAAAAATTAAGACATTTGGTACTAAAGTATAAATTAAGTAATAATTGCACAAATGATCTTCTTGAATTGCTTATAAGTGAAGGGCATTGTTTACCAAAAAATTGTCGAACTTTTCTAAATACTCCTAGGCGTATTGACTTTGAAGAAAAGAAATGGTTAAAAACAAAAATTGTAGATGGCAAGTCCTATTTCTTTTTTTTTAACTTTTTTTTGTTTTAGTTAAAAGTTTTTTTTAATCAGTTTTTTCCTAACAATTTGCTTTTCATCTTTGTTATTTGTTTATTTATATCCCTAATTTATTTCAACTGTTTTCATATTTCCAGAAGATAGACAGTTGTGCAATGACTTTAATTTTACATCTTGCGGTGAGCAAGTTACCACTGATGATGAATTTAGCAATCAAGTGACCTCAGGTTCAAACTTGTTTTAATGATTTAGCTGAAATTAGGTTGCACCCTCCACACTAATTATCTTGATGTTAATTCTACTAATATATTATTTATCTCTGTTGATATCTCTAACAGGAATCAGCAAAGATGTCCCTATTTTACTACCAAAACCTCCTTCCTCCTACAAACTGTCAATCGACATCCTCAAAGAAAATAAAAGTATTTTATTAACCTTTTCATATTTTTCATAATTTTCTTGCTATTATTGTTCATTTAATTTTTTTGCATCATCAAATAATATTTTAACATTAGACGTTTATTTTAAAGCAGAAACTGTAGCCATCATCAATGATAATGCTTCATTTTTAGATAAAACAGTAAAAGATCTGACACTACATTCAGGTAATGCAGTAATAAGATTATTTATAAATAATTTCTTAAAATTAGAAATAACTTTAAGTCCTTATCCATAGTGAAGTTAGCTCACCTAGTAAATAAGTATATAAAATCCTTACTTAAATGCAGCAAAATGAGAAAAAAAATCAACTGAGAATGTTAGTTATATATTTTCATATATTTTGATATGACTCACTAGATACTATTTATTTTTACTTATATTTGAACAATTTTTTGCAATAGATGCAACATCTGATGATGATGAGATAGTAGATTTTATTCGATTAAATAAAAAAAGAAATATAAACTCTCAATCACCAAGTCACCATGCTGTTACTAAACGCAAAAAAAAGTCAAGTAAGTTTAAAACTTTGTTTTGACATTCTAATCAATTCCAATTTAAATTTGATCTGAAAAAGGGATTTATTTTTTAGAAAAAGAAAAGCAACAGTTTCCATTGGAAGAAGAAAGTCAGTCTCAATCTACAAGTCACCATGCTGTTACTAAACGCAAAAAAAAGTCAAGTAAGTTTAAAACTTTGTTTTGACATTCTAATCAATTCCAATTTAAATGTGATCTGAAAAAGGGATTTATTTTTTAGAAAAAGAAAAGCAACAGTTTCCATTGGAAGAAGAAAGTCAGTCTCAATCACCAAGTCACTGTACTGTGACTAAATGTGACAAAAAGTCAAGTAAGTGTATAACTTTGTTTTGACACTCTAATCGACTCCAATTTAAATGTGATCTGAAAAGTAGTTTATTGTTTAGAAAAAGAAAAGCAACCGTTTCCAATGGAAAAAGGAAGTGAGTTTGGCTTTAATTTGATAAATAGTTAAAAAAAAATTGTTTGCTAAAATTTATTATATCAATTATTGAATCATTAGATACAATGTTAAATTTTACAATTAAAAAAAATTTAAACAAAAACGTTTTCAATATTCTAGAGTATCAACGCAAGTCGCTTCGGTATCTTGTTGAAATTAGAGATCTTCTTTCAAAATTAGTAGAGGTTAAGGACCCTGAAAATAGTAAATTTCATATCGAAAAAATTAATAACTCTGACCAACTCGATGAACTAGAAGAAGTTATCAAGAATGATGTGCAGCGAAAAGCAATTGTAAGCTTTTTTTTTTATATATATGTTAATTAATAATATTGACTTTTTGGTAATATTGACTTTTTTAAATTGTGTTATCATTGCAATTATAATGATTTTTATTTCTTGCAATAATGTAATTATTAAAGAGATAAAAATGATTTTTTAATACATAAAAAATAATGGATATTGAATAAAGCATACACATCATATCTTTTAAACAGTCTATTTAGAAAGAGGTTGAAAACTTCTTAAATAAGCTTTAAATAACGTTTTTTTTTAGTTATCTAAACTGAAGAATATTGGTGGTGTGGATATGGCAGATTGTACCAGAAATATGTTGGGAAAGTATGTTTTATTTTCTATTTTTAATTAAGAAAGCATAATTTTTGTAAAAAAATGTAAGATATACGATAAATAATATGTAGATTTAATATATAGAATAATATACACATTTTTTAAAATGAACATACAAATGAATAAGGATTTTAATTTAGAAACTCAGTGTATTGAGGTAAAATCCAAAGAAAAATATAGCGTTTTCACTTTTTGTTTTCCAAAAAATCACTACTTACTTTTTATGCGTTCTGATTGATTTGTTTTAAAACAATTTGTTGCAGCTTTTTTTTAAATTACATTTTTTTATACAATAACAGTCAAAATAAGCGGTAAACAAGAATGAATTTAACAACATTCAGATCTCAACTTCAGATCTTACCTTTAATATTTTTTCGATTTTAGATTATTTTCCGTAAACCTGATGGCGAATATGAACATTAAAGGGAGTAAACGTAAAGGCAGAGAAAACAAAATATCGTTTGAAAACCTTAAGTTAAAGGACGTTATGTTTGGTGAGATACAATTTATATTGTACATAGTCATTTTTTTCAAAAATGATAAATGCGACACTTAAGTGTCGTATTCAACTATATATATATTAAGCTGACGATATTTTTAATTTTAAATATTTTTGCTTAACTTATTTTAGAAGCGTTACAAGACAGGTATACCGTTAGTGAAAAAGAATTATTTAGAGTTGTCGGGAATAAACTAAAGAATGCACCAGGAAGATTGAACCATTCCATTGATATCTAACATTTATATTATATTATATGTATATAGTTTATGTTATAGTATATAGTTACTTTTTTAAAATAAATAAACAATGATATTATACAATTCAAAATGTTTTAATGTTCTTTTAAGCTTGGTTTCCAATAGTTGTAGAAATGTTGTACAACAGTTCTGTAACAACTTTGTTTTATAATGGAAACGTTGTCTAGCATAGTTGCACAAATTAACGTCGGTTGTACAACACAATTTTTGTGGTAAAACAATGGCTGCGAAGATAGAAATTAATCTATTTCCGCAATAAGTATACAACGGTAGATAATACAACAATCTACTCTTCATTTTGCGAACATGTATTACAGATTTGACATCTATAAATAAACAGATTTGCATTTAATACAGAAATTATAGAAACCTAATAATTTTAAATACGTCTTATATACGTCTATTATCAACGCATTTTATTTATCTAATTAATACGAATTATAGATTTGCATTTAATACTTAAATTATAGATATCTGAGACGTATTTTAAATACGTATATTATACGTCTATTACCAACGCATTGTAATCATCTAATTAATACGTATTATAGATTTGCATTTAAGAATTAGAATATACGTATCGAAGAGTAGGACAAAGACGTATTTTATATGTATAATATACGTATTTTTCCTTGCTGGGATACTTTCTGCTTTGTTCAGAAGATACTTTTATTGATAACAAAAAATTGTTTTGTTTCTCATTAAGCTTCCAATTGCGAAGTATATAACAATGATTTTTATTATAAAAGCCAAGAGGTAAAGGAGGCAGGGTGTTAGATACATTAAACGAAATTGCTTCAAGTTTTTCAATATTAGTGATAAAATCAAAGCTCTCATTTATCTGGAGTTGGTAAGATAAAGGAGAACCAATTGGAAAATTTATAAATGATGTTTTAGTAAAACTAAAAATGTCAGGTACGCAATGAACAATACCAATATCTTTATTGAAAAAAGCAACATTTGATTTTAGATTGCAAATATTTCCTTTTAAAGTTTCTTCTTTACACTTTATTCGTCTTGGATCATATAAAGTAGCCTTAATGCCACGCTTAAATTCAAATTTTTGAACATTTGTAAACATAACAGGATTTTTAATTGTTTTAGTTTTGTGACCTGGAATGCCCCATTGCCTTGATTTACTTGTACAAGCAATCTCTTCAGGTACATACTCAAGTAAATTTAAAGAATATTCTCCAAGTTCAAATAACAAAGCTATCGCGTGATTAAAATAACTACTATTTCCAGCAGGGCATGAGCAATATGCTTTTCTAACAGAGCTAGTCAATCTGCTAATATAAACTTTTAAATCACGAACTTCATTTTTCATGCTTGCTTTGCATTTTGCTTTTACTATGATACACGTTAGGTTACACAAAGTGTAAATACTATCTAATGATATATATCGTTCAGATTTAAATCTTTTACCTCTTTCAAATGCTTTTTTTATTGCAATACTTTTGTTTTTAGATTTTTTTTTTCTGTAGTTTTCTATTTCTTTAATAGTGAATAGTGGCAAGTATTTTAAACTTTTACACCAAGTTAAAGTTTTATCTGCAGATTTAAAATTAGGTGAAATATTTAAATTTCTATTTATTTCTAAAACAATTGGTATTTTAGTTGAATAATTTTGTATATCTATCAGAGCATCTTTTACTTGAGCGTTGATTTTTTAAACAATTATTTCGATATTTACGTTTTATCATTGCCTGATGTCATTACATCATTACGTCATTGGAATGCGGGATACGTCTATTAAATGACATTTAAAAAATTTCAAAATTTTTTAAACTCCTTATATTAATATGGACAACGTTCAAATAACTTTTAATGTTATTAAATTTTAGAAAATATTTAACTTCGCTTGGATAAAAATATTTGCATTCAAATTCTGATGTATTAATTTCGTTAAAATAGTTTAAATCAGGATCAGACTCTTCGTTAAAATTTAAAACGTTTGTTTGAAAAAAATTAAATATTTTTTCAAAATCATTAGAATTATTTGAATTCATATTAAAGACTAATAAATAATATAATATATGAATATATAAATAGTTCATTTAAATATCACGTGTATAAAGTTTTTTATAAATAACTTTAGCAAATTTACCCTTAAAACGTAACTCTTTTGCTTCGGCGAAAAACTTTTTCCTGACTTCTATCGTTCGTTTGCTAAAATCGTCGTTTATGTAGATTTTTTGGTTCCAAAGTTTCAGATTGATGTACTTTTCCAATATCCTGCTTCTGTCTTAGTAATTTAAGAATTTGACTATTATAGGCCTGTTTCTGGGTTTATCTGATCCTTTTCTTCCTACTCGGTGGGCTCTCTCTATATCTACATAATACTTAATCCCAATCAGCAGTATATTAATGGGCCAGAGCTCGCGAGCCAGGTACGGCAAAACACATGTGATCCAGTTAAGGGCCTTAGCTGGCAAACCAGAACTGGCTTGCCATTACCGGACCATAAGCGTATCATTAATGGCTCGCCAAAGGTACAAAAATGCATGGCGCAAAATAGATGAAAATTTTGGCAAACGGTCTTTCGTATAATTCAAAATAAGATTTTGATTTTTACAAAAATCTCAGACCTAGAATACTTTTGACGGTTGATACGCATGCGCTTTAAGTGCACCTTATTCTGAATTATACGAACGAATATCTTATTTTAAATTCTGGAACAGAACCTCCGAATTGTACTAAAACGAGCTTCGCTCTACAAAATTTTGTAATACTCTTTAGATTAAAATGAGTGAAGATAATTATTCTCTAAGTTTTGAGCATTTATTAGGTATAAAGTTTTTCTTTACCTTTTTTTTTGTAAAATATATGATGCCGAAATAAGAATATACTTATTTCTTTTCAATCTTTTTTTTTTTTTTTTATAATTAAAAGTGTATTATAAACGTTTACCAAGTTTAGAATGTAAATTTAGAACATTGCTCTTGAAATAAATTTATTTACTGAAATATGTATGCAACTATCTATTTTAATCAAGTTTTGAAAGTATACTTTAGTTTTTTGTATGAAATTTATAAATTAATATAATGAAAATTCATTCAAAAAAACCATTTTGTATGTTGTATACTAGATAATATACTTGATAACTTGGTAAATATAGCTTTGTTTGTTTGTTTAAAAATAGATGCACAGCAAATTGATGCACAACCAAACACTGCTGAAGCTTTAAATTTAAAGGTTTGCAATGTTAAATAATTTTTTTTTTTTAATGTTTTTTACAATACTAGCTTTTTAATTTACTTCATGTGAAGTAAACATTTTTATAGAAGAGAGTGTTCCCAATAAAAAATATGTCCAAAATGATATAAGGCATATGCTATATATCTAATATCATTTTGGTGTTATGTTGTTTATTTAAAAAAGATTCTGTATAGAAAGTTTCTTGTTTTTTATATGAAATTTTTTGCTGTTTGTTATTAAATTTCGTGACAAATTAAAATTATTCTTTAAATTTAATTGAAATCCTTATTTTCGCCCTCGTTTTTAACTAGTGGTTACACTGGCTCAGCTAAATTTGTGTTCTGTTTTAAATGATTTATACTTTCAGGGAAAGTCAGAGCAAAAGTGTCTTTTTTAACTGGTTTAGTAAAAATCAGGGAATTTACTTAGTGGTCAGAGAAAACAGTTGCTTTTTTTCTTTGTGACTCAGAATAATAAAACATTTCAAGTTCTAAATTTCTTTTTTTTTTATTTTTTTTTTTTTACTTAGGATTGTAATAAATTGTAAATTTTTTATAGGATTTGTCAAGGACCTAGAGATGTTGCATAAATCCTTAATTCAGTTGGTTGTTAAAACTGATGTTTTCCTTAAATGTTATTCTGTTCTTAACTTATTAGAGCTTGATATTACTGATAAAGGTATTTATCTAGAGATAAAAGATATTCATTTAGATTTTCAACTTAAGAAAAACTTCAGAATTTATTACGTCAAGATAAAGTGAAATCTGCAGATGTAAAAAAAGTTAAAGAAGGACGCTGCAAATATGGTAATTTTTTTATTGGAGAAAATCATTTGAAAAAGTTCATTACATCATGGCATGGTATGAATTGCAAATGTGTTTGATTCAAGTTCCTGTATATGATCAATTCAATCGATAGATCCAAATTCTGTATGCAACTGGTCAAATTACGAACCAAGATGAAACAACTCTTGACTCATTGAAGATTATTAATGCAACTTTAACAGAGAAAGTTTTGCCATAATATTCAGTTCGGTTGAAATCTCGAAATAGTAAAGTCTTCAAGTTGCGAGAGCGCTAGACTTAATAATTTCTTTTTTTCATAAACCTACTATACATATACCAAAAATTTAAAATCTATTTTACTCTTATATTGTTTTTAGTAACAAGTCATAGTAAAACAATGGTAGAGAAGACTTTATATTATTAAGATTGTAACCAATATATAACCAAATAATATAAAAAAAGATGGCGGGTAGACCATAGGTAAAAGAACAACCTGATACCTTCAACAATGAAACTAACAAACAAGTTTATAAGGTTTGTGAAAGGCGCGTGCCTAAAATATTAGCTAGACCTTGATCAAAAGAGAAAGAATGTTAAGAAAAATCAAAGCAACCATCAGTTAAAAATTTTAACCAAAATCTTGATTTTTTTTTCTTTTAATCATCAAAATTGATGATTAAAAGAAGAAAAAAATTTTTACTAGATTTTTACAACAATTTAGATATTGAGTTTATTTTTATTATATAAGAGATAAAAGAAAAAAAAGATTTACAGTTATCAAAGGAAACCATCCCAGCCGGCAAATAACGTTGAAATAACGTTGAAATATCGTTGAAACCTAACGTTGAATTAACGTTGGTTTAACGTTTAGAATGAAAGTTTTTTTCAACGTTGATTTATCAACGTTAAATTAACGTTAGGTTCAAACGTTATATCAACGTTGATTCGACGCAAAAAAACGTTACAATAACGTTGAATTTACGTTGATTTAACGTTTAGAATGAAAGTTTTTTTCAACGTTGATTTATCAACGTTAAATCAATGTTAGATTCAAACGTTATATCAACGTTAATTCGACGC